AAGCTTCCCAAAGTGCTCTTATTTCTTCCCAACATAGAGCTAGACTTCTTCCAGTCCTGCCACAAACTGACTTGGCTTAAAAGATGTCACTTACATTTACATACACTAATTTAGAGGTGCATATTGTAAATACTGTTATGATTTTACAAATAAGAAAATAAGACTAGGAAAAGTGACCTGACATTTAATAAATGCCGGTACCTGAATTTGAACACAATTCTTCTGGCTTCAAGACCAAGTTACCATATTAAAAGAGAGCAGTCTGCAGCAGTCTGCATTTTAAGATTCAACTTCCCTGGCTCTAGGCAGCCTCACTACATCTAATACACATAATTTTTAGGCAAGTTCTAAATTTCACCGTTGTCCTAAATGTCCCTCTTGCAAGCGTCAATGAGTCTACAATAAAAAATTCTGCAATTCAGTGAAAAAGTTCGGTGTTCACCCTAATGTTCACCCTGTGTTCACCCTTTGTGATTTTTTTTAAAAACAGACTTCAATAATCTCTATAGCCATCAACTTTTTAGGCTGAAGAATTGCTTACCTCAGTTCTTAAACCAACACTGCTTCATGCTTTCAAATACCTGTCGCTCTAATTGCCAAGTTCATTCCTTTCTTGATATTTGCAAATAACTAGGGGCAGTTCTGCATGGCTCCCAACCCCACAAACACTCTAAATGAAACACTCTGAATATCATTTGACTTCACTCAAAAAAGGGAGGGAAAATGAAAGGGTTAATCCCTAATGCATGTGTCTGATTAAGATTTAGTGCAATGATGCAGAGCAATTCAACAGAATAACGTGACTTGAGACTACGAAGAAACCAACTTTCACCTGACTTACCTCTGACCAGCATTTTTGCCCACCGCTTGTAATTACCCCCAGTCTTATCCGATTTCTGTATCAGTCAACTGAGAATATTAAGACCCAACAAAGAGCAATGGGATTTTAAAAATAGTAATTATAGAAACAAACCTCTAAAACTCTGAAAACTGCTAACGAGAAAACCATTAATTTATCAATAGGCGCTTGCTACGTGCAAGGCATTGGAGGAGACAAAAAAGCTGCCAAACGGTAAGCTCTTTAAGCACTTGACGGTGACTTATTCAATTTTGTAACCTCCATCCTCACCCCTCTAGCGCCTGGCAAAACTTGAACTGGACACGCTGTTGTAACGGGATGTGCTCCAGCGAGGAACCTGTGGGATAAATAGACCAGCTTGGGACGTAACTTTGGGAAGTATTGTTTAAACGGCTTTGCGCTGTTTAATTCAAACGGAACAGGCTGCCGCTGTGTTCGAGCTCGTGAGGCCCGGGGAAACCAGCCGGGTCAGGCGGTCTCCCCCAGAGACAAACCGGGACACCGCTGAGGGACCTCAAAGATCTGGGGCGAAGAAAAGGGGGCAGTTACTTGCCTCCCATTCCTGAAAGAATCGCTCGGCCTCGTCAGAACCAACGGTCTTATGTCTCCTAAATTCATCCTTCACGTACTGGTCACCAAGGGCTTTGAGGTCTGGGGGTAGAACTCGGTGCAGCAGCAAAATGCGCCGATACAAGGCCCGGACACGCGAGACGTGCCCAACAGGCATAACTCCGATCGTGGACCACAGGCCGCGCCTGCGCAGAGAGACCGCGCGCGCCGGCCTCTCCTTACAAGCCGAGTATAAGCAACCCAAATACAAGCGGAAGAGGGCGCGCGACTTTCATCCGGTTGGGTCCGGCTTAATATCAGGACCTTCCGGAAACGCGAGCGGCAGCGGCGGGCAGAAATGGGCCGGTCCTTCTCTGAAAGCGGCGTAGCTTTCGTGGAGCGCCAGCGCAGCGACTACTTAGGGGCTGCGTCTGGGGCGGAGGGGTCGTCCACCAGGAGTCTGGCTTGGGTGCTTGTTACCCCTCCGTTCACCCCATCATCTTTTCTATTCATCTTACCCCTTTCCCTCCTGATAAAGGCTTAAGAAAGACTTCGTCAAAATCGGGCTCCTCCAGGAAGCCTTCCATGGTTGGCTAAAGACACTTCAGATGTCTTTGCAGTGTTCCTGCGTTCTGCGAGAGGGATCGGAATAGGGTTAATCTCTCCATTCACGAGCCCGCCCAGCCACGTACTTTGCACAGGGCTGTGCTCCTAATTTGTACTCTGAAGGCGTGGCCTGTTTCATGTAACTCAAGTGAGACCTGAGCCAGCAGGTTTCAATCCTTAGCTCATGTCAAGTTGGCTTTAGAAGAATAATTAGAGAACATTTTAAATGTATTGTGTCCAAGGCCACAATCCAGGAGATTCTGATTAAATAGTCTGAGATGAAAACGTAGAATCAGAACGTTCACAAATCTTCACCTTTTACAACGGTGATACTGAGAGTGTGACCAATCAAAGCTGGCAGCAGTTTAGCCTCGCTCTTTCTGTCCCATCACACCTTTGGACCTTCAACAAATCCTGATGGCTCCACCAACAAAATGTATGCAGAATGCGATCATTTCTCACTGCTCCCTATTCCACATGGTCTCTCTTTACCGGATGCTGTAGTCACTTTTTGTGTTTCTGCTTCTGCCATGATCAACTTTGATCATGATCCACCTAAACTGTAACAGCCTCTGCTACTGGTAGTATCTGGCTGCCTTAGAAATCCTTGCTGGTTCCCATCACTCTGACCACACCTTTTTACATAGCTTTTTATTAAATTATTAATAGGTTAAAAAAAAAAAAAAAAAACACACAGGACTTCCCTGGTGGCACAGTGGTTGAGAGTCCGCCTGCCGATGCAGGGGCAGCAAAATGCGCCGATACAAGGCCCGGACACGCGAGACGTGCCCAACAGGCATAACTCCGATCGTGGACCACAGGCCGCGCCTGCGCAGAGAGACCGCGCGCGCCGGCCTCTCCTTACAAGCCGAGTATAAGCAACCCAAATACAAGCGGAAGAGGGCGCGCGACTTTCATCCGGTTGGGTCCGGCTTAATATCAGGACCTTCCGGAAACGCGAGCGGCAGCGGCGGGCAGAAATGGGCCGGTCCTTCTCTGAAAGCGGCGTAGCTTTCGTGGAGCGCCAGCGCAGCGACTACTTAGGGGCTGCGTCTGGGGCGGAGGGGTCGTCCACCAGGAGTCTGGCTTGGGTGCTTGTTACCCCTCCGTTCACCCCATCATCTTTTCTATTCATCTTACCCCTTTCCCTCCTGATAAAGGCTTAAGAAAGACTTCGTCAAAATCGGGCTCCTCCAGGAAGCCTTCCATGGTTGGCTAAAGACACTTCAGATGTCTTTGCAGTGTTCCTGCGTTCTGCGAGAGGGATCGGAATAGGGTTAATCTCTCCATTCACGAGCCCGCCCAGCCACGTACTTTGCACAGGGCTGTGCTCCTAATTTGTACTCTGAAGGCGTGGCCTGTTTCATGTAACTCAAGTGAGACCTGAGCCAGCAGGTTTCAATCCTTAGCTCATGTCAAGTTGGCTTTAGAAGAATAATTAGAGAACATTTTAAATGTATTGTGTCCAAGGCCACAATCCAGGAGATTCTGATTAAATAGTCTGAGATGAAAACGTAGAATCAGAACGTTCACAAATCTTCACCTTTTACAACGGTGATACTGAGAGTGTGACCAATCAAAGCTGGCAGCAGTTTAGCCTCGCTCTTTCTGTCCCATCACACCTTTGGACCTTCAACAAATCCTGATGGCTCCACCAACAAAATGTATGCAGAATGCGATCATTTCTCACTGCTCCCTATTCCACATGGTCTCTCTTTACCGGATGCTGTAGTCACTTTTTGTGTTTCTGCTTCTGCCATGATCAACTTTGATCATGATCCACCTAAACTGTAACAGCCTCTGCTACTGGTAGTATCTGGCTGCCTTAGAAATCCTTGCTGGTTCCCATCACTCTGACCACACCTTTTTACATAGCTTTTTATTAAATTATTAATAGGTTAAAAAAAAAAAAAAAAAACACACAGGACTTCCCTGGTGGCACAGTGGTTGAGAGTCCGCCTGCCGATGCAGGGGACACGGGTTCGTGCCCTGCTCTGGGAAGATCCCACATGCCGCGGAGCGGCTGGGCCCGTGAGCCATGGCCACTGAGCCTGCGCGTCCGGAGCCTGTGCTCCCAACGGGAGAGGCCACGACAGTGAGAGGCCCGCGTACCGCAAAATAAAGAACAAAAACAAAAACATGTCACTACTCTGCTCGCCAAAATCCTCCAGTGGCCTCTCATTAGAGCAAAACGCAAAGCCTCTCCACTTCTTAGCTCTCTAAATTTTCTCCTACTGCTCTTTCCC